GGCACACAAGGATTAAAAGAGAAGTTGAAGACTTACAACAAGGCATCAAGGTGATTCATGTCACAATGTCTATAGACGAATATCTGTACAGACTTTTGCTTGTCAGCAATACGAATACCATCAATTATTGACGCATGGTTCAGTGCATCAGAAAAAATGGCAATCTTTTCATCAGGTAAAGGTGTTTTGCCAGCAGCCAAGAGAGTGCCAATAGATCCCAAAGCTACCATCAAGGACGTATTGGCTGCAAATCCCGTTGGACAAAGAAGACAATCCTAGAGGATACATTGTAAACAAGATATATTGCATCATTTTCAACTGAATATACCTAAAACATCACGTGAGTAGCACATGACTATAAGAGAATGAAAGCAGTAATTTTATATTATATATAAGTCCACTACTTGAAAAAGAAATATCAGCTCATACCTCTTTCTCCTTCAAGTCTGCCAGGCATGACTCGAGTAACCTATGGTAATCAGTATATCCACAGATTAAAGCAGAACTCCTTGGGCCCATTCCGTGTTCTAGGGCAACCTGGTTGAATATATAATTATATTATTATTGCATGGTTTTCAAAAGTGATAGTAAACAGTAAATTAATGATACAATCTTCGCACAAGTTGGTAGTGTCAACCTTAGCTGCAGCTTTTCCAATAGTAGGATGTGAACCCAAGCCCAAATAATCATTCGTAGAAAATAGTAGCAGCTTTTTGAAACTCTGGGTACCATCATCGTCTCCTATAAAATTCAAGAAACGTGACTCGTAAGTTAAAAATTGAAAGAAAAAAAATTCTAAAACAAGTGAGAAATGGTTGAACTGAACCCTACCTGAACTGGGAATGTCATGGACCCATTTTTGGAATGTGGCTTCAGTAATTTGAACCTGCACAGCGGATCGATCCCATGGTTGCAGTTCATCGAACACATTGAAGTCATCTTCAATAGGTTTTTGGGCTTTTAGAGCTGGTGCACTATGGAGGTGAATGGGCCTGAGAGACCCAACGAGTTGCAGGTGCTGGAGTTTCTGAAGAGCCTCTTCAACCCAATGATCCCACGACCTCATCATCTCAAGTTGGGCAAATTCAAAGCAGAGAAGGGAAGATTGAAATATTGGAGAGTAGAGTAGTGCCCTTAGCTCTACATTCGGATGTAAGCACATTAAACCAATATATACTACTTGAAGAACCAATTGTTCCTCCCAATCCTCAATTTTTAAATAAAGATAAACTTTTTCGTGACATCATTAGAATAATTAAGCAAGCTTCATGATTGCTGTTAACATCTCTCTCTCTCTCTCTCTCTCGCTCGTCGAAAGACAAATTACTATGTTGTTTTAACAATCATTTATTAACGCGCGTATTGTAATTGTTGTCATGCTTGTATCATTTTATCATCATGTACTTACTTAGTTATATTTGAACTAGTTGAGATTAGAAAACATGCTACTCATTGCTAAAATATGAAACCTAATATGAGAATATTTGTTTGTGGG